GCGCCTTGGGGCGCCTCGCGGTCTCTCCTGCCGCAGGGCCCCGAGCGGTCGGTGCCTGCGCTTGACCCGGTGTCCCCTCCGCTCCTCAGGCAGCGCCGAGGCCGGACGCCGCGGGGCCGCTGGAGGATGGCGACCTGCGGGCAGCCCTGGACGTGCTGCGCTGTTACGACTTGCACTCGGTGGTGGAGGAGTGGTTCATGGAGGTGCTGCAGACGGACCTTCAGGCAAATATAGGTCCCGAGTTCTGGAACTGCATCGGCCAGTATGAAAACACGGCCGAGGAGCCCCAGTGCTCCTCGCTCCTCCTGGACGCCTTCTGCCTTCTCAAGTGCCGCCTGGACCCCTACCTGAACAGCCTGGAGCTGCTGGAGCGCTGGACCAGGGCGGGCTTGCTCCTGGGGACAGGCGCTCAGATGCTGCAGGAGAAGGTCTACACCATGTTCAAAGCTATCCTCTTCTTCTCCACTACCAAATCCTTCCAGGAGATGATCCAGCAGTTCTACAGCCGCACTTTCAGGATATACATGCGGCAGTGGAAGAAAGGAGAAGATGGAACCAACGAGGGCGAGAGCAGCATGAGCGAGACCGAGCAGGAGAGCGACACGGAGGAGGGCGGAGGAGAGAGCCCGCTGTGCGCAGGCTGCAGCAGCAGGAGAGAGCAGTGCTGGTGCCCCAAAGCCATGGAGCAGTTTCAGCAGCTCAATGACATTCTGTACGTAGGTTACCGGGCAGTGGCTGTCACTCAGAACAAGCAGATGGTCCGGATGGGGAGCAGCAGCAGGTTTTCTTGATATCTGAAAACAGGAGGAGTTACCCTTGAGGTCAGGCTGTATCGTGGTACCAGGTAAAGAACCTGACACAGGGTTTCTGCAGCTGGTTCCCAACTGGTGGTTGAACTAGAACAGATCTATAGACAGACAGTTCCTCTCTCTGGATATAAGAATATCTATCTGCCTCTTGCTCTAAGGCCTTCTGTTCTCAAAGAAGCAAACTCTTCTAAATGGAAAAGCTTTTGATGGCTAGAAAATAATGTTTCTAAGGAAGATGGGATAGCAGTAGTGTCATGTGTTGTATATGTAGTGCATCTATGTGGGCTATCAGAGCACTTAAAGTAAGAATTAGACCTGTATCTGTGGAGCATATGGGGAGGAAGGTGCCTTCAGCTAGTTAGGTTTTCTTTATTTGCTTGTACCTTTGTACTCTCTGAATCGGTCACTGCCTGTGTCTGTAGCCGCCGGCTGAATTTGCTGGAGAGAGTGAGCGCCGATGCTGTCACCACCATCTTGCACCGCATGATCGAGGAGAGGATGGAGCAAAGATGCAGGGGGGAATACGAGCACTCCTTCCTGAATGAGTTCCAGGAGGTAAGGAAGGTATGCGGGCAGCAAGGGCCCTTCCTTTGGAGATGTGCAGCTGCTCCTCTTACTGGTTTAGCAGCTCAGGCTAAAAGCAGATTCCACCTGAAAACACCTGGTCCGGGGTTATGACTCCCACCATCCCTGGCAGAAGAGGTGGTTAAAACATGCCATTTTGATTTATTCAAGAGGGGAAGGTTTGCTCTGGCCTGTGCCTAACGGACCACTGTATTTCACCTGGAGATGTCCCTGGTAGTGAGGGAATTTCTGTGGTTCTGTTTTAAAAACTAAAAGAACAGGTAGTGCTGCCTAGCCTGCAGAGGACCCTCCTTGTGTGAGGTGGGCCTGTAATTAGAATTTGTGTGGCTGTTTGCTGTCCTCTTTCCAATTTTTCAGCACCCCTTAAAATAGGAAGTGAGGATGGGACATTGTACTCTGGTACTATCTCACCAGTGGGCCACGCAGAATTAAAATCCTTCCTTGGAACCACCCAGTTGTTTTGTTGCTACCTTAAACTGAGTTTGTGTTGGGCTGTTTACTCAGTATGACCATAAAATAAAATTCTTCTCCGGGTTATGGCTGTTCTGGGATACAGTCCTGGCTTTGAGGCTTGTCTTGCACTCTTTGTTCCTCGATGTGTGACCTTGCCTTTGCCTGTGTTGAAGAACAATGCGTGAAGCCAGGTTGCCATGCAAACCAGACCGCTCTCTATGGTTTCCTTGATGTTTGCCATGCTGGCCATTTTTGTCATCTGCAAACATTGGCAGTCATTTTATATTTACTTCCCTTTAGTTGCTGTGCAACACTTTCTTTATTTGACCTAGTGTGAAATGCTTTTGGATGACCTGGAGATTGTTTAAGGGCATTTTAAGGTCACTGGAGAAAATGCAACTGCATTCCGCTTGTCAGACCTTGCCAAAGGTCCCCTTGCTCCCACCTCTCCAGAAACATCAGTGTGTTTGGCCACAGAGTATTGGAACATTGCAGATTTAGGAAGAGATGGTTTTAAAAAAAGAAAAAAAGGTAGAACTGGTATCCAAATTGGGAAGATATTTCAAAAAAAAAAAAAAAAAAAAAACAGAAGCCTGGCAAGCTAAAAGTAAAATAGGAGAAGTTTGAGAAACAGCTTGGTAAAAGTACCAAGTGCTGACAGCAAACCCCCTTTTCAGACACATCAGCAGCAGTGTGGAGTGTTGGTCACTAATCAAACTATAGCAGGAGCACGCAGGGAAGATAAACCCCTGGGGAAGAATGGGTTAGTTTGGTGATAACTGTACTCCAAAACTGAGTTGCTTTGCATCAGTTACGGTCTTTTCCTTTTGTTCTTTAGGACAATTCTTTATCAGCTTTTCCACAGTTTTGCCCAGATCGATGCCCAGGCATTCTGTAGTTGTCAGGTTTGTCCTGCCTTGTAATTAGCAGAACTTGTACATTCCTTCAGTTGAGTAGATTATTAAAAATTAACATAATCAAACCAGATCTGTACGTAGCATTTTTGTTTCAGGCTGTCCAAACCCAGTTATCAAAAAAGTTTAATATTTACTAGCTATTAGTACTCAAATACTATCCCAGGAAGTGCTACACGTTTGCTACCTTACAGGAAAAATAAAATTTTTAAAAAGCATTTCTTTTTAATACCTGGATATTGTAGTTGGGTGCATTTGAAGTTTGACAGTTACACATTTCTCTGCAGAAAACTCAATGTCAAATATAAAAAAATTAACCTTCTGATACTCTCTGTTCAGGCTTTTATTTTCTTCAGTGACTAGGCTGGTTTTTGGGGTCTTGGTTTCAAATGCGTGAGATTAGTTGGTATGTCTGTGAGTCCTTGGGGTGGCTTGCTTGCTCTTCACTGATTTCAGGAATCAGAAATTTTGAGCCGAGGATGGTGTGATGGACAATTTGCTCATATTCTCATAAAAATAATAGTTCTGCAAGTATAGAATGGAATTGAATTTGCAAGAATAGATGAGTCTGCACATTTTTTAATATACCTTATCCTTTTTGGAGCCCAGTGTCTATTTACAGTCCTCAAGTCAGCCCTTATCTTCTCGTACACATCTGCGTAGTCTATATCCTGTATCTTTCAAGTTCATAGTCTTTCAGCTAGGCTGTCCCCGGCTATGACCAGGCCAGGGTGCATTTGAAGAGCAGCTGGGGGTAGTGCTGTCCTTGCATAGCTGCTCGTTTCTGCTTGCTGTGGTAGCTGCCTGCTGATGGGGGAAGTGTGGGAGGTGGTTGCGCGTCCAGCTGTGGTGTTCACCTTCTCTGTGCTCTCCCTCTCTGTGCAGTGGATTGAGAAGGTGATAGGCTGGCTCAGCAGGGTTTTTCTGCAAGATGGTCCCTTGGCACGCTCCTCTCCAGAAGCCAGCGGCACCTTGAAGCGCTGGCGGTGCCACGTCCAAAGGTTCTTCTACCGCATCTATGCCAGCATGCGCATCGAAGAGCTCTTCAGCATTATTCGAGGTAGGTGTGACCCGTTCAGCATTCTTTCACTCTTGGATGTGGATTGGATGAATGATAGATCTGTTTCCATCTCCTGACATGCCATGCTGTCTTCTCTTGCCTTCCCACAGAGCATGGCACTGTTTCTAATCCCTCCTTGGTTTCTAGATTTCCCAGAATCGAAGCCTGCTGTGGAGGACCTCAAGTTCTGCCTGGAAAGGACTAAT